GGGAAGTGGAAAAGTATACTCATTTTGAAAATGGTATCCTAAGCAAACAGCAAAGACAAAAACATAAGCAATATTAATATCTGAAGAAAATTTTTAAGACACAAGTATTTTCTAATTTTGATCAAGCTCATATAATACTTAAATTTTAACTTTCAAGTAAAATATTAAAAATTTAAGATAATTGTCATCTGTAAAATATAAAGTCAAATACATAAATCAAGTTTATAAAACTATCAGGAAAACTGAACTAGAGTGACAACATTCTGCAAAATATTTTCAGTGATAAATCAAGAACAATTACCTCAGATGAAATAGCCAAGACTTGGTACATAAAAAAGCAAATTAAATGATATTTTCTAATGCTGTATCTTATTTGCAAGAACACATGAAGCAAATTTCAGATTTACTAGCTATGCCAGAAAGCAAATCCTGACAAATTTCAAATGCTCCTTCTATTCAACTAACATTCTCCTATCAAAATAAATCTGTTTGGAAACGATAAAACAATTTTTTAGTATTCTTGTTTGCTACTGAAAAATATGCATTGTCATTCACCATGTGTCAAAATTGAAGTTACAAAAATAAAGAAGTACAAGGTGAGAGATATGGGGCTAAATTAATTCTTTTGCACACAAATAAACCAGACACAGAATGTGAAATACCACAAAAATTCCTCTGATATGAGGAACCCAAAAAGCAAATAATTTAATGAACAAAGTAAAAGGGATGAGGTAAGACACAGGGCAGTAGACTTTGTGGAGTTGGGAAGGGTCCTGGGGTAGGAGGAGAGGGGAGGACGGGAGAAGAAGGGGAAGTGGAATGATGGAGGGGGGGTGTGTGCCATGTACAGTTCCCCAAGATGATTGTGACTGTTATGTTTTGCTAACAGATACCAATAAACTGCATGAGAACAAAGAAGGAAATACTCAGACCTGAATTCAAGTGATAATATTTTTCACCACGTTTTTTACAGAGCTGGGGAAGCAGCCTGGGCCTCCTGCAAGCTGCGCTGGGTTCTGTCCCTGAGCTGCATGCCCAGCCCACAGGATTTTCATAACAAAGCTGAGGCCATCGCTGGGACATTTTCCACTTCCTACAGAAAAGATGATGAGCTTAATATTAGTATTTAGTTTTAAGGCTTAATGACTAGACATTGGAACAGTCACAGAGAATATCGATCGGAGAAAGTAATGATGACTTGAGAATAAGTTAAAAATAAAAACTGAGGACAGTGAAAAATCTAGGTGACATTTTAAAGAAATTTATATGGAAAAAACTGATAGAATTCATCTCCCTCTGGAACAGTTGATAGGTAGATGTGGGAAAGGTAAACAGTCATAAAGAAAAATAAAGCATTACTGCAAGTATCATAGAATTTTTTTAAAGATAAAATATGCAGTCTATCAAGCCAATACCAGCAAACAGTGGACTCGAACAGAATAAAAATATTTTAAAATGCATTCAATTTTCTGAAATTGACTCAGGAAGAAATGAAACTGTTCAATTGTTTACAATACAAAAGAAACTGAGGCATTAAATATTTCCACAAATAAAATATTCAGCACAAATAATTATAAAGGTGAATTATACCCAACTTAAACACAATAAATACAATTCATGTACCACAGTGAAGGTGTTTATTATAGGCACATGTACAAAGGAGAGCCCTCAGATGCCCCAGCTTCTGTTTTTGCTGGAGAAGGAAAGGAAGGTCTGCTAGGCCACATGGATAGCCTCCTGCACACTGGCATCCTGCAGACACACTAACCTTCTGGCCCACTTAGGGGGATCTAAAGTAGCCAACGTGAGTGCTAATAATGTTTTTGTATGTTTTTCTTTCAAAGAAAGTTAATATTATTTCATGCAGGAAATATGCTTGTCCTTGTAGAGTGATACAGATATGACCACATGGTCACACCTAGTATTCAATCACTTGGTGATGAGACAGTGAGTGGGCCAGTGAGTGGTATCAGAAGTCACCGGGGCAACCGCTTCAGTGTCAGCCCATGGATTTGTCTTCCTCCTGGTGTCAAAAAGGCTTCTGAAGTACCAGGGACAGAGGGAGAGCCTCATCTGTGCTCCATGGTACTGTGTTTAATGGGTTTGTGATAGGACGTTCCTTTGATACTTAAGCTAGGAAATCAGGAGGTTAGGAGGTAAGATGGTAATAATAATGTGGAGTAAATGCAAACAAATCTGGAAGTGCTTAAGAAGCAGAGTTTTGAGAGCAGTTGGACGTGTGAGTGTCAGGTAATGTAGATGGGGAGATGCTTTATAAATACCCTGTAAGTGTGTGCCTCTTGTAAGAAAAAAGGGTATATGAATTTTGTTTACATTTTTTGTTTTCACTTCCTATTAAATGTTTCAACCAGCCCAAGAAACTAAACAATAATGTTTTAAATAAATTCAGATATAAAAGCAAGAAACTGAGCAATGGGGAAATAGATATTTAATTATGGAGTAATACTATATTTATATAGAATACAGAAGTGAGTACGTGGAAAACCTGAAACAACCTATAAGATGTTACCAGAAATTTTAATTGAATTAAGAAGTAAGAGAAATATGACAATAAAGGGCATTTGAATGTCTATTTGTTGTCAATAATCAGAAATTGAAATTATAAAAAATACCATTTACAGTGTATCAAAAACATGAAATAGGCCCAGTTCACAGCAGTGATCCACTTAGCCCACCAGAGAGAGAGGTCCTGGGTTACCAGGAGCTCCACTCCATCTAACCTGTGCCATGCACACCTGCAGGGACCAGCCAGAAGGTAAGGACCCCTCACCACTGGTCACTCACACGGCACAGTGGCAATCCACTTAGCCACACAGGCGCCTGCAGAACGCTCCTCCACACCCCCCCAACCCCCCCCCGCCTCTGACCTATTGGCTGTACCACTGCCTGGTTCCACACTACAAGGACACAGGGGACACCAGACCACCAAACTGGGTAAATTGGAGGGATCATCTCCTCCCATCAGAACCTAGACTATCTTCAGGGGAAGGGCAGCTGGAACCTGCAGTACAACCTTGGAGAGTTCAACCCTACAGGAGGACAGGGAGCTCAACTTGGGACTTGCTGCCTGAAATCTGCCTGAATCCCATGGGTCTGTGACTGGCTTGCTAAGACTCACTGACATATCTACACACTGCCGCCCATGTTGTCTATTGTGACAGCAGAGACATACCCTGAAGGAGGCCCTTCATTTTCATTTTTATTTTTTATTTCCATAATTATTATTATTGGGGAGGTTTTGCTCTTATTTGTAATTTTTTCCTACTCTTCAAATTTTTATTTTTCTCTTATTTTTTTTCTTTCTTTTTCCTTTCTCTGTCACTCACACTCACTCTCTTGCTGTCGGACACTGTTCTTCATCTCCCTTTTTGTTCCTGTTCTGGCTCTAATTCGGATTTCTTCTTTATTTTCCTTTCATCCTCTTTTTCCTTCTTACATCTGTGTCCTCTAGCCTCACTGCTAACCTTCCCCTATCTTTCTACCTATCTATCCCTCACTCCCCAATTCCTTCTAACTCCCCATCCTGAAGGGAAAAGTTGCTAAATTGAAGAGTTTCTTCACTATAAACATAAGTTGGGTTGGTCCTTGATTTTGATTTAATCCACACAGTTAAAAGTGATAGATTAATAATTTTCACAAATTGTCATTTTCTAAGATGTACTTGTTGCTATGGTGTGGCTGATTGTATCACTTGGGCTAAGGTGCTGTGACTGATCTAGTCAGTTGTCCTTCCTGGTATAATAAAAATGAGATAGCCTCAGAGTCATTAGAGACTCAAAACAGAAAGACCAGCTATATCTGGAAGACACCTCTGAGAAGCAATCATTCTATAAGGGTTCTAAATACATCAACAAAGATACTTAGAATAAACAACTTCAAAGTATCAACCCAGGAATTAAACCAAGGACAGTACCAAAAACAAACATGGGAAGACATTTAAGCAAGGCACAAACTCAGACTTCCACTCCAGAAAAGGCAAATTCTGGGGGAAACGAGGTGGAGAAGTCTGATAATCAACCACCTGGACACCCTAAACTGATAGTACAGGAAGTAACAAAACAGATGAATGAGGGTCTAGAAAAATTAAAAGCAGAAATAATCTCGCAGATAACGACAGAAATGGTGAGCAGAGTGAAAGACATGATTAGAGGCTCTAGAACAGAAACAGATAAAAAAATAGATGAGCTCAAAAACATGCTGGAAGCCATGAATGCGCAGCATAAGAAAGAAATGGAATCCATGAAACAGGTTCAAATAGATATCCAGGAGATTAAAAACTGCATTGAAAGTATGCACAGCAGATTAAGGGAATTTGAAGATAGAATATCAAATATGGAAGACAGGATTGTGGTTAATGACCATGAAAACAGAGATTTTTAAAAAAATAGTAAGGGACCATGAGAAATCAATCCAGCAGTTGCTAGATGATGCAAAGAAGGATAACATAAGACTGATAGAAGTCCATGAAAAAACAGGAGAAAGTATAATTGACATAAAGTACTGTTCAGAAAAGTAATAATAGAAAACTTCCGAGACAGAGGTAGAGAATTGGATATACAAATAAGTGAAGCATATAGAACTCCAACTAGGCAGGATCAAAAAAAATTCTACACCTAGACATAATAATAGTCAAGATCCCAGAAACCCAACAGAAGAACAAAAACCTACAAGCAGAGAAAAGAAACAAATTACCTACAAAGAAAAGCCCTTCAGAATCACAGC